TATTGTTACTACCTAATAATTGTCCCTTTCTTCAACGTAATTGGTTGTTTGAATTACTAAATAATTAAATTAATTTTAAGAGAACATAATTTGAAATCATCATCTTTTCATGTCTGTTATAAATGAAATGACTTCGTCCCTCGATCATCACATTCACTGTTTTTACTCAAATTTATCTAAAAGATAGATACGATTTAATAATCTCATTATCATTCATAATCAAATAGTTTTCTGTTTGTTATTGAAGATGAAATATATTTCCAAGAATATTCGTTTGAAACTATTACTCTTATTATACCAAGAAGTCCAGAAATCGATAAAACATATGAAACTCGACATTCGGAAAGCAGTACTTTCATCTATCAAGTAATGTTTCTTTTACCCTAACTTTCAGATGTTCATGATTAAAAGAACAAATCACCTGATTCAATATTACTCCTTTCATCCTTTCTACACACTAGATCAATATAACGTTGAAAATAAAATATGAAAACACAAATCTCTCATTAGGTTACAAAGCCCATACCCACCACCAGCTGAGAACCAATGTCAGTTTTCATCAGCATAGCTAGATCGATTATAGAGATCGTCACCCAGTGCAGTTTTATATATGGCTTTAGATGTGGAAAATGCCTTGGTGTAGGTTTTTTGTATGTACATACGTATTAAATCTTTCATACAAGCTCACCACTTCAAAGTATGAATAAACTCGTGTACCAAATTTAATTGAAAAGCTGATTCGCGAAATATTTTCTTTTCGAAATGGAAGCATAAAGTACATTTGAAACTTACACCAAACAATGAAAACGTTTTACCAGAAAATAGAATATTAATATTCTTGTCTTTAGCTGAGAGATAAGTTATTTATCTTATAAATATTTTAGACACGTTTCATTTTTTTTTATTAAAGTGAATATTTTGCCCAAACTTAGGTATAGTTCGATTTTCAAGCAGAAGTCTATTGTCCGACTCATAATTCTTCTCCTTGAATTTATAACAGAAAACGTTTTACCTAATAGTAGTAAATAAATAAAATTGGTGAAAGGTTATGTGTCAAATTTGGCAGAACATATTCATCAGAGATCAGTTGGTCAGATTTAGGTTGTATTGCGATGTATTGTATGCCAATAGAAATTATACACATTATTGTGAGCCGAACGCGGTCCAATGGTTTGTTATTGTGAGCCGAACGCGGTCCAATGGTTTGTTATTGTGAGCCGAACGCGGTCCAATGGTTTGTTATTGTGAGCCGAACGCGGTCCAATGGTTTGTTATTGTGAGCCGAACGCGGTCCAATGGTTTGTATGTGAGCCGAACGCGGTCCAATGGTTTAGTATTGTGAGCCGAACGCGGTCCAATGGTTTTATTGTGA